CAGGGTAGTATCTAGTCGAGCGCTCTCGACTAGAGTTTTCTTACTTGTTTCTTTTCATTTTCATTTATTTCTCTCTTGTTTTTTTTTCTCCCGTGTATCAATTTTTTTTCTCTGTCGCTGGCTCGTTTCCTCTCTTCTTTCACTCGGGCTTTGTCAATTTGTACAAATTTTCGTTATATGGTTAATTGTTATATGGTTCGATGCTGCTGCTGCTGCTGTTGTTGTTGCCAAACAGCTTTTATGCTGAATGCAGGCTATGTAGCAATGCTCATAATGATGCTGTTCATGATAATGACGTCGATGATGACACACAGCTGCAGAGTGGGACACTGACTGTGCTGGCTCTTGGGGATGCGCCGGCTGCAGCATCGTCTGCGTCCGCAGCGTCTTCTTGGCCTGACCTTTGGCAATTTGAAATGCAGGTTTACAGCTGTTGCCCGACCCGTTGGAATATTTTCGTCTGTTTCTGATGGGATTGCGAAACGCTCTTTGACTGTTTAGCATTTTAATGGAGCTTAGCATGGATTTGAATATAGATTTATGCTGCGTTTTTTTCTCCGCTTTTTTGTTTTTGTTTTTGTTTCTGCTTCTGTTTGAGTTTTGTTTCTTTTGTTGCTTTCTTTGTGTCGCAGCGTCATGAATTTATTGATAAGTTTGAAATGTTCAACGTTTCTTTTGTGGGATTTCAAGGTTATAACCTAGTTTTTGGCAAAGGCGCGTTCAGCGGGGAAAAAAATTAAAACTAAAAAAAATAAAAACAATGCATATTTTATGGGTGAGAAATCGATTCGAGTTCGATTCGTGCATGTTTAATCCATTAAATGAAACTGCAAGCGCTTTGATAAAAAACTACACGATATTAAGATAACAGTGAAGCGTCCTCGGTTTACTTTCTGGCTTTTGAACTTGGCCAAAATAAAAGCGGCAGGACGTTATATATGCATATATTATATAGCTGAACAAGTGAACCTCTCTTGCTTTATTTCGATTTTAATTGAGATCTGGAGAAGCCAAAGGAAATCGGAGTGTAATTAAAAATACATCAGCTCAGTGGGCAAGCTGTTTGCGATTTGCGTCTGGAAAATGGAAAATGAAAGCCGATTAATTTTTGGCCAACAAATATCAAGTGCGCGAAATGGCCATAATTAAAAGTACATCTGTGTGCGTGTGTGTGTGTGTGTGTGTTTGGCACCGCCCAATGTGACAGCTGCGACCAATTGCATGGACAATAGAAGCAGCCAAGAGCTGAAACTGAAACTGAAAATAAAAGCAAAGCCAAGAGTGAAGCCGAAACCGAAAGTGGGCCCCAGACGCAGACAAAGAAGTCAACAACCTGCGCGTGTTTGTTGCCTTCAATTTTGGCGCAAAGCGAACAGCGAGCCACACTCATTAACTCTCGACAACATCTTCGTTAGTGGGAATTAATTATGCAGATATATTCATTGTATTGCGATTTCAAGTGTGGTAAAATGCAGCGCTCCATTGTCGTGATTGGATTGGGAACGGGGGCTGGGTCTCTGCGGCTAATGGCCACAAGGTGTGGGCAAGCGGCGGCTGCGCGTTATGATGATGATGTAGCCGATGATGATGACGATAATTATAATAGTTATGACAAGCAGCGACAAGCTAGGGCGTTGGCTGTGCCCTATTTGAGCATAATACACATGTCCCCCAAGCCCCAAACCGCATTACAAAAGCATTTCTGTTGTTGTTGTTGTTGCTGTTGTTGTTGGCTTTGCAGTTCGATATTGCCCAAACGGCGGCTCAAGAAACTTGGCGCTTGGGCTTCCGCTGGAGCTATTTGCCGATCGCTTTTCAGTCAACAGAAAAGCTGAATTTTTTCTTTTTGTTTTTGAAAGTAAATTTCACTGATCATTGACCTCGACTCTCTGTGTGGCGGTTGCGTGTAAACGCCGTCGCTGAGGCCTGAACGATTTTGGGATTACGTAAATCCGAAATTAGTTAATAAATGAAAACTGTGAACTGTGAAATGAGAAATGAGAAATACTGTTATTGTACATTAGATATACAAATATATCTCCATCTATATATAGAAATCTCCCCGTTACGTTTGCTGCACTTTGTGGAGCTGCACTTTTCCAACCGGCCCAAAGGTGATTTTTTCTCTTTTTACCCAGCCCAAGGGGCTGTTCGCTAAATATCTCGTAAATGAGTCTTACGTAAAGTGTTGTAAACAATATTGTTGTCAATGTGTCAATACGGCCATTAGGCAGGGGCTCTAATAAACATTGGCCAAGTCTGGTAAAGGTTGCGCAGTATTTGTTAAAGCTGTATAAATCAAACTTATCAAGATTTCGAAATGCGCTGGATCATATAAAATTCATGCTCTGAACAAGTCACTCAAACAACCGATTCTTCCAAATGAAATAAAACAAGTTTGTTTTTCGCCAAAAGTTCCCATCGAAGAGATATGCACATAAAGATTACAGCACAGAACTGAACTTGAATCGAGCAGAGATTGGACTGACTGGAGCTATTAAAATTCTGCACCGGAAATCTAGCCAGAGTTGAGTGTAGCATAAATCTTTATAATGCGCGCTGCCACAAGGCTCAAGAACAGCAACACAAGAAGCAATTAAAACTATTTTTGGCACAGCTGTATAGCACGTAGTGGACAGAGAGCGTCGAAAACATTCTGCGGCGCAGAAGTCGCAAATAACATGAATGGAGTTTCAGCTAGTTCTACAACACTGCACGTAATATCTGTTCCGAAAGTAAAAATGAAGATTCAACCGGATAAGAATTTCGCAGAAGAGTTTCTGCGCAGAAAGTAAAAATACGCAGAGAGACTTTAACATTCATGAAGCAGGCGATTTCAAGACGAGTTGTTTGCCAATACTTCCATAAGTCAAGCTACATATTGCGAGTGTAAATAAATTAGTTATCATTGCATATATAGCACTGGCTGTGACCTCTCGCTAAATAGTATTGCAACATCTCAGCCCTAGCTGAGCTGCTCTAGCAACTCGGTCACTTACCGGCAAGGTCGTTGTCTAATTAAACAATTTGCAATTCAGCCTCAATTTATTCAGTTATTAATGAGAAAATGTCAGCTAAGCTAAGGTTAACCTTAGCCAGGTGGAGCTTAGCCAATTTCCGACAGACAGACATCGAAATGGGACAGAAATAGTTGTATAGAGCTCGCCAACACCTTCACCGTACGCAAACACGTTCTAACGGGTTTTTTTTTTTTATTATTGTTATTTATTTTGTATTCCTTTAGTTTTGTGTGCTTGAGCGTATGAGAAACGAAAGATTCAACTCACGAACGAGCGGCAGCAACAGTTAACGACAAATTACCGTTTCGAAATGCACTTGCTAAATACGCATTAAGAACTTGCACAGCCAAATCGGAGGGGCCCCCACTACCGGCCGGGTCTTCAGCGATTTGGCTTAATTGAACAGAGACACACACACACACAGACACGTACACATATGGCATTTACTGCATGGGTGTGCGACGAATCAGATAGCATACAAATGGCATGCATTGCGGGGCGAGGCGGGAGCGGGCTAAGGCAGAGAGTAGGCCAGGCCAAGCCAAGCCAGCGTTGGTAACTTTTCTTCCGCGTTGCATACGCGACGTCAACGTGGCGGTAAACGCCGCACCCACCCACTAGCAGCCCAGCTAGAGTCAACAATTAAAAGAAAAAGAAAAACACAAAGCACTGCTCACAATCTAAGCCAAGTGCTGATGCAATTTTTGCATTTTTCAAATACTTTGGAACTGCTTGTCCGCAAATTATACAGTGCGCGAGTGCGCTTGGTGTTTGTTGGCCAATAAGCATTTAGTCAGTCAATTGGCTGGCTGGCTGGCTGACTGGCTGGCTAATATTCTCAGCGAGCTGGCATTCAATTTAGAGTGGAGCGCTGCTAGCCGCTGCCATAAACAGTGCTCGCCCTGGGTAGCACACTCCCCGAAATGCCAGGCTCAGCCCGATCTATAACAGGCCAGACGTCGTCTGACAGCTGCATGGCAAACGGGTTTTGAGTCGGTTTTTTCTTTCTTCATTTTTTGGGTATCTTGTTTTTGGAGGGGCTAGCCAAACAAACCCTAAAAATCGGGTGCAACATATAAAGATAGATAGATATGCTATCGACAGCTGAGCGAAGATCTGATACGCTTTGTGAAGTAGGAAGTTATTAAATATTGATAAGATTGTCGATATTGATTGAAATCTGATTTTGTTGATATTTACTGGAAATTTCTAAAGAATTTAAATAATAACTAAAATTAACTGCTTAGCAAATGCCTTACACTAATTTCAATGCCAAAAAGAATAGATTCTTGTTTAAAATCTGTCAGCAATATGCCAATAAAACAAATATATGTATTTACTCATTTACATACATATAGATCTATTTCATGGGCCTCGAAATAGATTACAATAATCGTGCCATGATTACAAAACGAATACACGTGGCTATGCGATAAATGAACATACTACAAAAATTCTCATGGATCTACTACTATTTCTATATATCTACTACTATTTCCATGGTATAATAATGAAAAGTGAGATATTTGTCTCTAACATATTTATTCATTATATTTGATTTTTTTGCATCTACTACTATTCCTTATGGATCTACTACTATTTCTATGTATCTACTACTATTTCCATGGCATGATTACAAAAAGGAAGATATATTTCTATAAAATAATTATAACTTTTTGGAATTGTCTAACATCTACTACTATTCCTTATGGATCTACTACTATTTCTATATATCTACTATTATTTCCATGGTATAATTATGAAAAGTGAGTTATTTGCCTGTAAAATATTTATTCGTTATTTTTAATTGCTTTGCATCTACTACTATTCTTTATGGATCTACTACTATTTCTATATATCTACTACTATTTCTATATATCTACTACTATTTCCATGGCGAGATATATATTTGTCTACAAAATATTTAAAACTTGTTTTGAATTGTTCTAGTTTGAATATCTCTTTTTGAATGCGAATTTCTCATTATAAATTTAATTAACCTATGCCAGGTCATAATCAAAATTTGGACTTTTCAATTTTGTAGCTGCTGCGCTGTTAAAAGCCATTTTTAGCTTATAGCTAAATAAAAAGGCTTTAGGCAGTGGCCTTTTCTATAAGCTGAGTGTATACTTATAACTGGCCTGCAAACTATGCAGTAGCAATGCAGTTAGCTGCAGCAGCGGCAGCGGCAGCAGCAGCAGCTATTGAAAGCGAAAGCATAACTCTGACAAGGTAGCTTAGTTTGTGTTTATTTCTGTTGTTGTTTTTTTCGCACTGCGAAAACTGGTTCGCCGTCTGGGACTGTGGGCAGCCGCAGGTTTTCTAGAGACCACTTCAATAACACACTGAGCCAGGCCCGGCCGGGGTCGGGCTACAGACCACTCTCGACCGACTACTACAAATTTGCAGTCTCGAGTCGTTGGCAGCTGTAATTGTTCTGCCAGTTGACTCTTGGTTTTGTTGTTGTTGTTGTTGTTGGCTGTGACTGTGGCTGTAATTCCATATTCTTCCTGCATTCCGAAACCTTGAATCACATTTCTTGCATTTAATTGCACACATTTTCAACAGTTTGCTGTTTGTTATTGTTGTTGTTGTTGTTGTTGTCGTTGCGGCGCCGCTGAGTGTCCGCCGTTGACCGCCGCGCTGGGTCAGTTTTAATAGTTGCTGGCGCGGCTGCTGCAACTGCAATTGGAGCTGTGACTGCGACTGTGACTGCGCCTGTGACTGTGACTGCGACTGCGACTGGCTGGCCTACCTTTTACTTGCACGCATCGCACCAGTTGACGGCCTGGTTTTAATGCCAAGCCGCCGTCAGCGAGTGCGTATTTGTTTATGTGCGAGTGCAGCGGCATATCAATTGCAATTGCATTGCCGGCCACCGGTTGGCCATCACATTGCCTTTACATTAAGAAATCATGTTAATTGCGTTGATTAACATTTAATATGACGCTGAGTCAATTGACGCAGCAGCTTGAACAAAGTCACAGAAAAAGTTGACAAGCTGTTGAGCTGAGAAATCTATTTGAAAAACTTCCCTCTTTTCTGTGAATTTGGTATATGATATAAGCATCACATGAGACATTGGAATGTGTCTTGTTATTGTAGGTAAAACACTACTATGTTAACATTTATTTATTACTGTGTAATTATTAAAGTTCACACATAATCCTTATGAATTAAGCCTTAACCCATTCCTTTAAAAAGCAGCTCTGCCTGGGTAAGCCAATCACATTCTGCACAGACAACGTGGCGTATACGCAACACGCCTAGAGCTGTTGCTGGAAATGCCAGGCGCATGACTCAGGCACAAGGCAGGCAACACACACACACACCCGCTAAACATGCACGCACACACATGTATGGTTTCAGGCAATTAGGTGAAGTTCAACTAGAGACTTAGCTACTTTTTTTTTGTCTTTTTATTTTTGCTATTTTTGGTCGGTAAGTAGAAGCCGTGCCCTGAGGCCGGCAATCGCACAAAAAGCCAATCCATAATTAGCCACAAGCATCAACAACAAATCGAAATGGATGCTAGTTGCCTACACACACACACACACACACACACACACACACACACCTAGACACGCTGAACTTTCAGGCAAATAAATTCCATTTGCAACTCCCGCCTCAAAATGCAAAACGTAACGCCGCAGATCAATTGAGGAATGGCTCGCTTTAGGGGCAACCGAAATACAACAATACGACGCTGGCAGCGCAGTCGACGCAGCTGCCGACCAGAGTACGCCGCGTGCATACAAAACAAGCCAACTTACAGTTAAAAGCGACGCGTCGCCGATAATTACAATTAAACGTGTACACGAAAGAGACAGAGACGAGAGAGAGAGAGGGAAAGACAGACAGAGCGTAAAAGTAAGAGAGCGCTGCATGAGCGAAAAGAAGAGAGCGAAAGGCCAATGCACACAGGTGCGACAAGGCCAGGTAGCTGCTGTAAGTAATACTAAAGCTGACTGCTATGAGCCCCAAGCCGTCTGCCTTGCTGTGCTGTGTACCGTTGCAATCGTTCGCCAGTGAACGTCGCGTCGCCATCGACGCGGCTGCGCAGCCGGCGTGCGCGTCGCTGCCGCCGCCAACGTTCGTCTGGATTGTTCGCGGCTGGCGCGCATGCGCAGCGGTATAAAAAGCTCCCGCACCAGCCAGAGCCACACACAGTTTCAAGTCGTCGGTCCAAGTGGTGCGCAAAGTCAAAGTTTTGTTCAAGTGCTGCGAGCGCCTCCCCCCCTACTCTCTCAGATTCGGTTACGTATCGGCGAGCAACGCAACGGTTAAAAGCGTTATTACCAAATACACAACAGCAATAAACTCAAACCGCACAATGAAGAAATTTTTAGTTGTGTTTGTGGCATTATTCGGAGCCGGTATGTATTAATTGTTAGCTACATACATACATACATACAAACCTACATACACACCCACATGCATATCTAAGTCGATCAGAGAAATGAGAGAAATGCCCGCAGAGCCGAGACAGCGCTCAAGGAGCCAAAGACAGCTTATGCTTACGCAATCGGCCAACCGCTGAAGGACACTTGACAAGCGTTCAAGCTGCACAGTGTTAAAAACGAAAAACAAACAAGAAAACCAGAAAAAAAGCAAATGAGAAATGAAAGAAGTGTTTTTTTCAATCGAGTGTGTTATAAAAGCGCCCGCTTGTGCAACAAGTGATCAGCAGCTCTGATCAACTATCGCCCAGCTTGGCCCACTTTCGAATTCGAATTCGAAAAAGGCGGAAAATACAAAATGAAAATCACAAAATAGTACAAAAAAAAAAAAAAAATGTAAAAAAAATAAACAGAAATAAGCAAAGGCGAAAAATCCAAATGCAAACCATAAGCGTAATCGAGCCAAAGAGCCAATTGGAGTTGGCCATGTTGCAGCAACCCAACACGTTTACTTGCATTTTCTATACCCCACCCCAGCCACACACACGATAGATGTATCTATAGCTGTATCTGTTGCTGTATCTGTTGCTGTATCTGTATCTATTGCTTCGATTCGATTTCATTACCTCATCGCGTGGCAACGCCTTTCCGAGTGCAAGAAATTACAACAGAGTCTGACGCTGGCGCTGTCTGGTTCGGCTTGGCTGCACCACTCGCTTACATCATCAGCATCATCATCATCATCATTATCGATGATGATCGCTGTTATAAACGTTTTTAAGTCTTGGGTCAATTTATGGCCACATTTGTATGACATTCATGACATTGACATTGAAATGCCTTCACTTCTGCTTCTGTTGCTGCCTCTGCTTCTGCTTCTTCTGCTTCGTCTGCTCAATATTTGCACAAAACAAAAAACAAGCAAAAAATTTACATATTTTTATGACACGTTTGCAGCCGGCTAATTGAAAAGATAACTGCGTGATATTTTGCTTTTGATTTTCGGCACAGGAATTTCAAATACGCAGCTGACACGCCCAGGCGGCCCATTAGCCAAACTTGTTTCAACTGGGCCATCAAAGTGTTTTTAGCCGCAGCAGCATTGTTGACGTTTTGACTCTGTCTCTCTGCCTGTTGTTGCTGTCGTTGGTTATTCAACTTGAGAGCAACAGCAACAACAACAACAACAACTGGCATAAAATCGAAAAAATAAAGTTAAATCGCCTCTGGCTAATTGCGTGCCATGCATTTTGTTGCTGTATTTTCTTAGCCACTTCACTTTTAATTGGCAACAATTTTCAAAGTTATTAAACTTAACAACAGCAAAACAACACTTAATGGGCCTAAGCCTGGCGCATGCAGCGCATTGTCAAGTTCAAGTTGCTTGTTGTCGTCGTCGTCGCTGCTGCTGTTGCTGTTGCTGCTGGCAAATAAATTATGCAACATCCAATGCTGTTGGCCAAAATACGCAAACACTTGGCCCAAATGTTGCCACAAGCATGCTAATCACGGCGATAAACAATTTGAGCTGTTCAAAAGATTTCCGAAAAGCGACGAAAAACACAATAAATTTCCGCATTCGGTTGCGCGACTCATTTTTATTTTTCTTGCTGCTGGATTTTTGCATTGGCTGCCGCTGCTGCGGTTTAGTATCAGCGGCAGCAAAAAGCGTAACAAATGCAAACAATATATGTGTGCTGCCATTTTGTTATTGCCACACCACAGCAACAACACACAGAGCCAGCGGCAGCAACAGCAGCAAGTCACGCTTGAAAAGTTTTTATTTTGTGGCAACAAAATCAAATGAAATGGCCAAAGCACACACACACACACACAGAGACACGCAGCTGCGCGAGCTATGGCTTGCATTAGTGGCACAACAAACACCAGCCACACACACACTCGCACACACACACATTAGCTTGGTATCTGCGCTGATTTATGGGACCAGCGGCAAGTGTAAAAAAAAAGTCAACAACAAAAGCCAAAAAGAAAGAAAGAGAAAGAAACAAAATACAACTCTTAAATGCGCTGACGCCACTCGAAAGTCAATTTGCGTGCCACATTTTTGCCATTTGCTGCCACTCGTGTGGCCCGCCCCCGCCCCGTCCCCTCTCTCTCTCTCTCTCTTTCGCATTTTTGTGGTGGCGCAGCTCAGGCTGTCGTCGATGCGTTAAATTTGAAAAATAAATCTATAACTTTTTAGCATAGGCTAAGGCGGATTTATGGCTCAATATGACGCGTCAGAAACTATTTGAGAATATGGCTTGAATGACGCACAAGCTCGACAACAACAACAGCAGCAACAAATATTAGGCAAACAATTGAAAAGCAGATTAACCCACATACGTTGCATGCCGGCAGCAATGTGGGTAAATATTTAAATATCATTATGGCAGACAGAAAAAGAAAAATATAAACGGCTGCTTGGCTTGGCTTAAAGAACCAAAAGCGAGGAGCACCACATTTAGCCACATTTAGCGGAAATGCTGCTACAAACCAAAATTGTTGCTGTTGTTGTTGTTGCTGTGCAAATATCGTAGCCCCCAATTGCTGTTAGTCAAAGTAGGAGCTACGAAACGAAATGAAATGAAACGTGCTTAAATGTCAGCAATTTTCTTGATTTATATGGCCGGCAATGTCTTGGCGCCAGACAACAATGGCAACAGCAACAACAACGGCAACAACAACAACGGGCACATAGAATTCGCCAGAAGCCCAAATGATAGATAGTTGCAAGTGCTACAAAACACCTATTGTGAGCTGCTAGCCAGAAGACAAAAAATAGCGCCAACAACAATAACATTAAGGCTGAAGCTCTGATTGCAGCCCTCTTGCGGCTAACGATTATGAGTCCAAATACAAATACACACAGCAAAGACACAGCAAAGACACAGCAAATACACTCCAAATACTTGGGCAGCCGTCTGGCAGGGCAACTTTCAGCAGAGTTGACTTCAAGTGTTTTTCGCTGGAATTTGTTGCCTTTCAAGTGGGTGTGCGAATGTCTAAGTGTGTGTGAGTGTGTGTGTGTGTGTGTATTTATATACATCTAGCTTGAGCAGTTCAATGCACCGGCCTCTGTTGATATTCATATTTATGAGTCACTGTGGCGCAGGCTCAATGCCTGACACGAAATGCAAATTTGTCATTATTTGTCATGATATTTGCAGGACACGTAGCCCTGCAAATTTTGATATGCATCTAGAAAGGAATGCCATAGATGACAGAATTGATGAATGGCCTGTAACTGATATTGCAGTAAAAGTTGATATAAGAACTGCTCAAAAGACTGAATGAGGCATATCGAAGATATGTGGAAAAATTGAAGAGCAAGAGCTGAGAGAGAAGAGAAATAACTGAAGAGAAATAACTGAAGATAACTAACAGAAGATTATATATCATATATAGCTATATGACATCAAAATCAGTTTATACAATGAATGACTTAACTGAGTCGTTACTAAATTTTAGAAAATATTCGACATATAGATATACTATCCTTATACAAAGTTTACTACTTCTATAAATACAAGTCTTTCCAAGTAGAGTAGCAGGAGCTCAGTTGGTTAACAACAAACTGATTATTTATGTATATATTCTCTATCCGTTACATATTGTGTCTAGCTCAGCCTAAGCTGCATGTTTTCAGCAGTCTTATCTGATTTATACATTTAAATGAACCTTGCTCGAGCTGCACTCTCACTCTGAGTGAATGCCCCATTTGGCAATTGATTGCCTTGGGATGGGGGGCTGGGGGGTCTGCATGTAGTAATAATAATAATAGTAATAATAGTTAATGCTCTGCCATGTGCATATCACATATCAATTGGCATTGTTGTAAATAAATTATGTAGCTGTAATTTGCGAATGTATTCATTGTTCAAATTGAATTATTCATTTATTTGTGTTATTTGCATCTTGACAATGTCTGTCATTTAGGTGCAACATAAATTAATATAGCTCACTTTTTTTTCTCGCTGTAATATTTTTTTTTCCTCTTTATTAATTTGAACGCTGTGAAGCGCGTTATCAACTCTGTGTGTGTGTGTGTGTGTAAAGTTTTGGTTAATTAAATGATTATGTTAATGGACGACCGGATAAACAGGCGTAGATATAAGTAGAAACAACAACAACAACAACAGCAGGAATAGTTGACTGCAGCAGCTGGAACGATATGCATTCAACCGACAAGACCAATACAATTGGCGGTTTCACTGTTAAAATGTCAATAAAAATTTATTATTTAAGCACACACACACACACACACATGCTCACATACTGTTTTTAAAAAAAAGGCACGTAATTAAGCGCTCACAATTGATAGATAAAACAATTATTGCAAACAGCAAATTAAACAACATGCAACATGCGACAACAATCAGTCTAACTAAGTAAAGAGCGCTAATTTGTGAGATTGGCCAATCGAGGCATTTAAGCCATGTGCGACAGAAGAATGCGCAGGGCGTGCCGGCCGGAACTGTCAGCCGCAGCGCGCCTTAATTGCGAGTGGGTTAGTAGTCGTAAGTGGCAGCAGACCCGTTGCCAATATCACGTCTAACCGGTTTAGCCGCAACTCGACGAAACTCGCGGTCTAGAATCGCTTGGCTTTTGCTTTCGTTTTCGTTTTCGTTTTCATTTAGCAGATCAGCTTCTAGAATGAATGCTCAATTAGCGCTCGAAATATTCCACAAATGACATCAGTGAGCGGTTCCTCGAAGCTCACTTCAAATCGCAATCAGGGAAATACCAAGAAATCTAAATGCGCTCAAAGCAATAATAATAGCTTAAAGATAATGGTATTAGGTATAAAGACGAGCATTGTTTATTTTTAAAATGAAATACACGTTTCTTTGGCTTTGAATTTTATTTAGAAAAAATTATATAAATGGCAGATTATTGTTATTAGCTTGATATTTCTTATAATAGACAAATTGATGAGCTTCTTTTCACTGAGAAACTACAGAGCGGAAGTGTGGCAGATAGCCTTAAACATCTTGTATAGAATGTAAAGCTTATATTAGACAAGTTCAGGTATTAGAACTCGCATCTCTTTATGTTTTTCTGTGGCTAAACAACCTCGAGCTGAGCCAACAAACATTTAATTGTGCTGCTGGCTGCTCTTTGATCAATTTGAGTTTAGCTTTCATTAGAACATTCCACGGGCGCGCTTTCCTTGCAGTGCCCTTTTTACTTTGCTGCAACTAGTATAAATTTATAGCGTATACGCCACTTTGGCCGGCAGCAGCTGCTCAAAGGTAATTGTTTAGTTAACATGTGGTATTTACGCTACGCGACAAATGTACACACACACACACACACACACACGCATAGTATAAGTGAGACATACAAATGTACATAACTCAATGTAATCATCAGTGTGGGCATCGCAGCACACTATGCACATATGTAAGCGCATTAGTGCTGCGGTCTGCTGCTGCGGCTGCCACAGGCTATGCCCCATGCTGCAGCCCACAGCCCACAGCCCACATGCCACATGCCTCATGCCCCATTCCACACATTTACAGCTGCATGACCAGCCTCGAGACGAGCTGGGGGTTTGTTGGGTCTGTTGCACTTGCATTGGAATGCGCTTTTTGTGCACTGCTTCGGTTGCTGCAACAACAAACTAAATTATTATAACTGTTGGCTGAGCACACACACACGCACACACACACACGCACACACTCGCCCTCTGTGAGAGAGTTTAGCTTTTGTTTGTTAGTTGTTAAATGTTATGTGTGTGGGTACAGCAGCTAAGTGCTTGAAAGTTCCTCTTTTTCGAAAAAGCATTCCAGCTGCTGGCCCACCTGAGCTGCAAGCCAAATAGTGAAATATTGCAGAGCACAGTGTTTGTATGAGTCCGAAAGCTAAACAAATACACATATTTATAAACGTATAATAGATTGTCTTAAAATATATTTAAGCTCTTCTCGAGTTTGCCTAATGCCCCATTATATCTCTCCGAGTTGAATATATATACGAAATATAGTTGTCAATGCAAATACTTAATTACTTTTAGCTACAATTTTTGGCAATTTCCATTCGAATTTTATTTATGTGGAATTCAGAATTCCCTTTGAAAAACTATAAATGTAATTTCGCTATAATTAACAATATTTGAGTAAACAACAAGTCGAGTGAATATATGAAAATGTTTTTATATTATTTTATAATGCAATTCACTAACAGCTACTGTCAGAGCAGCTGACCGAAAAGTGTGCATAATAAATATGAGTGCAGCATCAGTAGCTATGTATGCGTGTGTGTGTGTGTGTGTGTGTGTGTCAGCAGTTGATGAGTGTGTTTACACAAACGCGCATGGCAGATGGAACGAGTGCGCGTGTAAATAAATGCAATAGGAAAACAAAGTTTTTAATTAAATTCTGCAAATAATTTGATAATCGCCAACAATTTTGATTTCTGCAAGGCTTTTGTTGCAATTGCACTATATATATATACATATGTATATACATCTGTACTCTATATACGAAAAAAAAAAACTTTGATATTTGATTAGTTTACACAACATGAAAATTGCATGCTGTTTGGTTTATCAAGAGTTGTTTTAGCTGGCGGCTTTTCCATCTAAATATACATTTTTTTTCATTTATTTTTATTTTGATTCATTTCATGAGGCAGCTGAGTGAGTCGGGTGGAGTCAGGTAGAGTCAGGCGAGTCAGAAGAGTCGGGCACTTCTGATTGAGCATTTGTAGCCATGACCGCAGTTTTGTGGCTTTGCAATTAGATTATCACACAAGGGCTGGCACAGAGTGTGGCTCAGGACTCTGCCATTTGTTCATTTCGCGCGAATGCTAAAAACGTTGAATAATTATTTATTGGCTGGCTGTTGCAGCTGCAGCTGCAGCTGCCATTCGATCTGAAACGAAATTAAACGAAATGAAATCAAATGCATTGCACATTGCAGGCTGCAACAAAAAACAAGTAAGAAAACTCTAGTCGAGAGCGCTCGACTAGATACTACCCTGAACCAAACTAATAGAAAAGCACATTTAGTATGGTTCAAATTTCAATTTCGATATATTTAAAAATATAAA